ATCAAGGCAAAGAGAAGTCTCCGTGTATTTGACGGAGCCTCTGAACTTTCACAGGGGGATAGACACAATGCAAGCCGCAATCAGGTTTTACAGAGTGGTCATGCATGCATGAATCGATGCATTACTTACTCTTACTTCAAGGGAGCCTGAATGTTTATCTCGAGGAAAGGGGCTTCTGGGCGTTCATTCAATGTAAAGCATGTGTGCATTTGCCCATGTGGACACGTACTGGCCACCAGAAAGGAGTTGTTGATGTGTTTATTTTTTTCGTGGTGCTTCTTGAATGCTACAAGGCTCCAGAGGAGGGAGGATTAGCAGCTTGCTCCCTTTTGCTGTTGAGAAGGCCGAAAACCAAAAGAGTTTGGGGGAAACTGCCCTGGCCATCCTAGGAGTCGCACTATGGAGAAGAGGATCTGTGTGTCCCAGGCCTGTGCTCCAAGGATCTCCAGCATGGTTCCCCCACCCATTTCATACCTAACAAAATCCCACCAACAGACGCAGGGCAGACTCCCCGGGAGCATGAACCAGTCCCTCAGGCCAGCTCCAGTTTCTGGAGGCTCTCTCCTGAGGTCATTGAAGGGCAGATCTTGGCGGTGTGACATTTTGACCACTTTCTTATCTGTGCTCAGGTGAGGTATCAGACCCCAGGACGAGAGGTCTGCCCCTTTTTGATCTTCTGCCTCCCAAACGGAAGCTACTTAGCAGGGCAGCTGACTTTTTAAAGCAAGAGAAAGTGGTTTCTTTTTCCAAGATTTTTCCGCGATCGTCATTTCTGAGTTTTCCTGGTTTTAATCTCCCTCCTGCATCTCTCCCTTACCCCACCGCTGAGTCTTTCCCACTGTCAAACTCTTTTGCCACAAACAAAGATAGCTTCAGAGTTTTCTTTTGTAAGGCATCCACGTCCTAGTAAAGCCGTGGTATGGGAGGTGTGTGCAGTGCCATTGGCTGGAAATGGGGCCGCACTGTAGTGCCTGTTGCAGGGTCCATACCCAGGCAAGCTCCAAGAGGCGCTGGCACTATTAGCGGTGAGTGTTGCATCGACAGCCTTCAGAAGTCCTGTTTGAGCCAGGTCATCCCTACAGGGCTGTGTGGTGGGTGTGGCTGGTATAGGCTTGGGCATGGTGCCTGGTGGGATGATTGTCCTCTTCCAGACTCAGTACGGTACATGACCATGTGCACGCACATACGAAGGCACACCGAAAGTGGCCAAAGGGTAATTGCTATTTTCTTGGTACCTTGAACCAGAAGGATGGGTTCTGAGTCTCTGGAGACAGTCTGGCACTTGCATGACCTTCTTGAGAAAGGTTGTTCTGGATTATTCTACAGGGTAAAAGTTCACCCTTGGGACAAGAGACTTGAGGATAGATAGGGAGGGGATTGCCTTTCTCTGAGCTTTCGGTTATCCATCAGAAAGCAGTTTGTGCATTACTCATGGCCTTGGAAAAGAAGAGTTGACTCAGTGAAGAGGGTGAGGGGATGGAACTCAGCTCACGGAAGCAGACAGCTGGTACTGGGACTCCAGAATCCCAGGGGCAGTACTGTGAGACTAGCAGGAAGGGGTCATTGTCCTTTCAGGGCCGTGTGTCTGGCTAACAAGGCTCTCCAGGGTACCTCCTGAATCAGCAATCCCTTAATCTTGGCCATTTGAACCCCTGCCAGGGTCCATCTCTTTGATAAGGCAGGGATGTTAGGGGTCATGAGTCAAGGGGCCAGCAAGGACCTGAGTCCTAGCCCTTTTTCCTTCCTAGGAGGGTGAGGGGATTTCTGTGGGCAGACTAGGCCTTGGATTGCCTTGGGTTCTAAGTGATGCAGGTTGTGTGTCCTGTTCTGGGCACCAGCCTCATCAGGAATTCCCAGAACTCCCTCTGCTGAGATGAGGCTCAGGCTAATTGCATCCCCACAGCAACCAAGCCAGATGCTCTACTTCCCGCTCTGCATGGGCAGCCATCATGAGGCAGTCTCAGAGAGACAGGAGATGGAGCGTCTGTGTCCTGGATCCAGGAGAATCATTTGAATCAAAAGGTCCTCCTTCACTTTCTTTTTAGGCTCTCGTGTTACAGACGAAGATTCTGCAACCCAGAAAGTTAACAGTGGCTTGCTTTCAAAAGTTAAGGGTAGTACTAAAACAGACAGAAAGGTCCCTGGAGCTTGCGCTCTCAGCTGCCTGCTTCTTCCAAGGGAACATTAGGATTGGGCTGTACCTAGTTCAGGGAATCCATTTGACAGGGAGCCAGACAATGGTCTGGTTTGAAAACCGTCCAATACTATATATATTAACTTAACCACTTGGAAGGAAACTTCTGAGGCTTCGACATTTTTTTTCCTGTCACCAATAGGCAAAAACATCATGGGGTTTTTGTGGGAATAAATTAAACGTTATATGATGTGAAAAGGTGCCTTGGACAGTGCCCAGAACTTTGCCGGTGCTCAGGAAACATGACCTGAGTCAGAATCAGAATTTTCAATAACTGATGTTCAGTTCATGTTTGTCTCCCAGGCCCTCACCCCTTGGAACCCTAGCTAAGTATCCACTAGGGGGTGGGCAGGGGTCTCTCCTGGTCCAAAGAAAACATAGTTCCTTGTAAGGGCGAAGGCCGTAAAGACAGCTACACAATGCAGAGTGTGTGTCTGAATCCTCTCTCAGCGGTGTGTGGATTACCTGCTGTCATGGATGAATGACCTCCACTCTCCTCCATTCTCTCAGTTCCTATAATCAAGGGCTCATCAGGCCCGTGCTGTTTTTCTATCCTCTAAGCAGTGACATCTATAGGAAACATCATTGTCATTCTCATTGTCTTCTGCAGCATCGAAACAACCTTTCAGGAAGAGAGGCACTTGCGAAGATCCCCCACCCCCTTAGCATGTAGGTGGGGAAACTGAGGCAGAAGTCAACTCCTCAAGGACATTTATCTAACCTACAGTTAGTCTGCAGACACTTAATTCTCAGGATTTCAATTCAGCTCTGTCTTCAGAGTTTACTGTTTAGAGAGAGAACAGCCACCCTTGAGAACCCCCAGGAAACAGCAGCAAGGCATAGAGTTAAACAGAGAATGCAAGCAGCATCTGTCAAATAGCGGTCCTGGCTCCGGTGCCTGCTCAAACACTACATGCACTATTGCTGGGCTAGACGGAAAGCTAAGATTACATGGCCTTTGCCCTGGAAGATCTTTGTGGGTCCCAGGGAATGTCCTGCCTAGAGTGACTCCCAACGAGTTCTGACTCTTTATTAATCACTCAGGAAGTCACGGCCACTCCTTAGCTCTCATTTTCCTTATGTGCAAGATGAGGACTACAGTGGTGTCTACTCCAAAAGCAGGGGTTATTTTGGTGACTCGATGGAAACCGTCCAGGGATGCATAAGGTACGGAGCCTGGTGTGGTCAGTGCTCAGTCATCCATTCAAGGTCAAATCCCGGACGTGTGTTTCAGGGTTATCAGAATGCTAAGTATCTGCAGGCTTTAGATTTTCTTATTCATGAAATGATGGACATGATTGACCAGGGTTGCTTTGAGGATTAAATGAGATAGCCATGGGAGACAGTGCAATACCTTGCACAGAGTATCTGGACATTTATTACTGTTAATGCCATCACTGTTAATGAAAGGGATATAAAGCACCTGTCATCCGAGCTTGGCGTGGCAGGTGCTTGGGCAGAGAGGCAGAGTGCAGAGAGCCTAAAGGAAGGAGAGTCTTGGGAGAAGAGGAAGCATCACCAAGAAGGAGAACAGGTAGGATTTTAATGAGCAAGGCAAGTGGAGGGACGGGGGAGATACTCCAGAGACAGACATCCAGGGTTTGTTTGTGAGCCAGTCTCTACTCTTGTTGTTGGAGGTTAGGAAGGTACCTGGACTGCCTAGCTGATATGCTAAGCTGAGCTCCTGTATGAAGATGCTGGAATGTCAGACCAAGGACTTAGGGTTTTATTTCACAGGCTACAGAGTGAGGCACTATCAGAACCTTGCTTTGCGGAGATTGCTCCAAGTAGAATGAATTCCAAGGTAATGGGAGGAATCTAGGAATGGAGAGGGAAGAGTGAGACCAGAATGCCGGCGGAAGGGAGGACCAAGGGAGCCAGTCTCTCATGGAGTTTCATTGTTTGGCAATCCTTAGAATAGAGTACAAGAAACATGGTCAGGTGCCGGGCGGTGGTGGTGTATGCCTTTAATTCCAGCACTCAGGAGGCAGAGGCAGGCGGATCTCTGTGAGCTCAAGGCCAGCCTGGTCTACAGAGCGAGTTCCAGGACGGACAGCCAGTGTTGCACCGAGAAACCTTTTTTTGAAAAACAAAAACTAAAACAAACCATGGTCAGGGTAAGTGGCCTAGGGTGAGGGATGCTGTGGGCAGGGTGTGAAGAGCAGCATTCGGGATGGAGAGAGTGTAAGCTTTTCTGTCTCAGAGGCATCTGGGTAGGAAAGACCAGTAGCAGCTCGGGAGCAAAAGCATCATTAGAGCCTGGAGTTGAGAAGTGGGTGAAGTAGCATTCCTGGAGAGAGGAAGGCCAAAGTTCATCGCAAGTCTCTGTGTAATAAGTCACCCAACCCCAAAACTAGACCAACAAAAAAGACCACAGACTCCCAAAGTCACCTCTGCCTCATTTATTTCCCTACAGAAATAAACCAAGTGCGTTCTAGAGAATCCAAATAACTGAGCTAGGATTTGGCTCTGCGCGGTGCGATCAGTTTAGGATTAGTGGAGTTGAGTGTGCCAACCCCAAACAATTTCCCGTCACTGTTACGTGTGTTTCTGTGTCACCACATGGCTTCCCACAGATGGTATACATTTGGGGATTGCAGAGTCATTTCACTATCATCTTTAAAAAAGCCAAATCTGGGAAGGTAAATCTGCTTCCCCAAGCCAAATATAGTTCTCTGTGCCATTGCTCCCTCCATCCTCACAGGTGATGGGGAACGTGGTGCAGAAAGCTGCGCATGAGAGGCAAGGGTGCCCAGCCCTGAAGAAGCTCCGAAGGGTGCAGTAGAGGACAGGTGAGAGAGCCTGGCATGGGATGGTGTGTTGTTATATAATGGGGAACTCTGGGTTCCGGGCAGATGGAGACAGGAGGCGAGGGAGCTAGGGAAGGCAGTGAGCATGGCTCAGCTTGCTCTGGGGTGGGAGAGGGACAGTGTGGAAGTCGGGTGGACCAAGAACCCAAGAATGCCTTCATTTGGTTGAGAGAGAGAGAGAGACCCAGTCCAACCCCACAACCATTCCCTGTCTGTTCATCATGCTTCTGACGGCTGCAATTGGACAGTAGGTTGCTAGGGCAAGGATCCAGGCCAAGCATCCTCAAGAGTAAGTAGCAATTTGCCAGTGAAAGCTTTCCCCATGGGAGTCAGGGGGAGGACTTCACTTGCTGGGGTCTCCCACCTTGACAGAATTTTCTAAACCCAGCCTCGGTCTCCTTCCCACCAAGGAGAAATAGAAAGGATGTGTTTACTTGATCTCCTTCATTGGCACCCCAATTCCTGATTACCCCGGTGGATGAAGAGTGAAATAAAAATTAGCATGTTTATCCCACTTTTAAATTTGTTTAATGAGAACTCATTTACCCTCTCCCAATTTAAATTCGCAATAACACCCATAACCTTTCAGAACTAATTATTACCCATCTTCCCAGATCTTCCTGTTAAAGGCTTTCCTTCCCAAGTACTCCTGGACCCCACCCCTACCCCACCCCCAGCTTGACACTTTATCAGTCAGTCAGCAGCCTCTGATGAACTGGCCCTTTGCACAGCCCCCTGTGAGGTACTGTCCTTGCATCACTATCAGAGTTTCCTATTTGGGTGCTTTCAGCTTTATCTTGCCTTGGAGACTTGCTGTTCTACTCAGTGACTCTCCCCTTGTCCTATCCTCCAACACTCAAAGAAGACTCAGCCGTTTCTCTGATCTTTCCTATCCCCCAGGGGTCACGGAACTAACTTCAAGCTGGTGTGCACAGTGTCTGAGCAGCTACCAGCCCAAAAACTGGAGTCACCATGGCGGCGGGAGTTGCAGCCTGGCTGCCTTTTGCCCGGGCTGCAGCCATTGGATGGATGCCAGTGGCCAACTGCCCCATGCCCCTAGCTCCAGCAGACAAGAACAAGCGGCAAGACGAGCTAATCGTCCTCAACGTGAGCGGAAGACGGTTCCAGACCTGGAGGACCACTCTGGAGCGCTACCCCGACACCCTGCTGGGTAGCACAGAGAAGGAGTTCTTCTTCAATGAGGACACCAAGGAGTACTTCTTTGACCGCGACCCGGAAGTGTTCCGCTGCGTGCTCAACTTCTACCGCACCGGGAAACTGCACTACCCGCGCTACGAGTGCATCTCTGCCTACGACGATGAGTTGGCCTTCTATGGCATCCTCCCTGAGATCATCGGAGACTGCTGCTACGAGGAGTACAAAGACCGCAAGCGGGAGAACGCAGAGCGGCTCATGGATGACAATGACTCTGAGAATAACCAGGAGTCCATGCCCTCGCTCAGCTTCCGCCAGACCATGTGGCGGGCATTCGAGAACCCACACACCAGCACCCTGGCCCTGGTCTTCTACTACGTGACTGGTTTCTTCATTGCTGTCTCAGTCATCACTAACGTGGTGGAGACGGTGCCATGCGGCACGGTGCCAGGGAGCAAGGAGCTGCCATGTGGAGAACGCTACTCGGTGGCCTTCTTCTGCCTGGACACTGCCTGCGTCATGATCTTCACGGTGGAGTACCTCCTCCGGCTCTTCGCGGCACCCAGCCGGTACCGCTTCATTCGCAGTGTGATGAGCATCATTGACGTGGTGGCCATCATGCCCTATTACATCGGCCTGGTCATGACCGACAATGAGGATGTGTCTGGGGCCTTTGTCACACTCCGGGTCTTCCGTGTCTTCAGGATCTTCAAGTTCTCCCGACACTCCCAGGGCCTACGGATCCTGGGCTACACCCTGAAGAGCTGTGCCTCAGAACTGGGCTTTCTCCTCTTCTCCCTCACCATGGCCATAATCATCTTTGCCACTGTGATGTTTTATGCCGAGAAGGGCTCCTCTGCCAGCAAATTCACAAGCATCCCTGCATCTTTCTGGTACACCATCGTCACCATGACTACACTGGGGTAAGTCAGTGACACCGTCCTGGCTAGGGTAAAGTTGGATTGGTTGATCACAAAGCTTTAGGTGGTGTATCACGGTTGAGGGGAGGAGGTTTGGAGACAAAAGTCCTTCACTCAACTCTTGGAAGCCAGGGGAATGGAATAGTCAGAAAAGAAATGAGTGATTTGTTTGTGGGTGGTGACTTTTCTCTGAATGGATTCTGTTGGGGTGGGGTGAGACACGTGTTTTATAAAACATGGGAAATTAAGTCACTATGTCTTTCCTCCAGACAAGCAGTGTGGTGTGTGTGATGGCAGGATGGAGTGTCTCTAAGAACTGTGCAGGGAAGGAAGACAGAGCAGGCGGGTGGTGGGGCAGAAGGCTGGGAGAAGTTGGGTGAATGGTGTGCAATCTGCACATGCAGATCCCTTCCCTGCATTTTTCCTTGGTAGCATAGTTGCAAGCTGACTTCTCTTCTGCCTCATTTTTTCACTTCTGCTGCCACAGACACTCATGGGTTTGGTAACTCTGGCTAGAATTTCTCCCAATGACCCTGATTTGGGGATTTTTGCAGAGCAAGGCACCAGTTTCTTTTTTTCTCACTAAAGGAGGAGCAGGCTTGTTTTATCAACTGGAGTCAGAGGGGGAATGACCCAGGCTACTTGTGCGTCTGTGAAACAGTCTCGATGGGTCACGTGGCCAGACAAGCACCACTATCTTCAGAGGGAGAGACAAGTGCTCGGTGCGATCTCGGGTGACATTTCTCTTCCAGGTGTCTGAGTCCTCCACTCCACCGAGGTCACGAAAATACATTTATGGTGCTGGTATGTGAAGCTTTCCATTAGACAAAGGGGTCCCAGGAAGGAGATTAAAACCTTCATTCTAACAGGATTAGAGAAAAATAAAGGAAGCTTTATGGAGACATAGATTTCAGAGGGGTTCTGCCTCAGCCTCAGAGACTAATGAAAAATCCCTCCACAATTCATACGCCGGCTCTAGATTTGCTTAGAAAAGGAAGCATCATATTGCTGATGGAGAATTCATGAGGCTTTTTATTTGGTCTTTGACAATTCAGTTGGTGGCATCCTGGTAATTCAATTTTTTTCCTAGCTGAAACCCTGTTGTGGTGGTATAGGTTTATTCCACAGTGCTGCGTGTGCTTCTTGAGCAGGTGATTGGACCTTTTAAAGTGATTGCATTTGTCGCTCTGCCACAAGAGAGGAGCAGGGAGGAGCAAGGGATGTCACCATCCGTTTGTGAATGCCATGTTTGATCCAGGCATTTATTCCCTTTACCTCTGTCTGTCGAAAGAAAACTATACAGCCATTCTTCTCAACACCACACACACACACACACACACACTCACACCGTACATCATGCTTATACAGGTGAACACATGCCCACATACGCACTCATTAAATAAGTAGCTGCATATCAGAGTGAATGTCAAACTCGGACTGTGCCTGTCTTGGATCAAATGGCAGATGTAAACTTTGGGCACCATGAGATATTTGGAATAAAGCGACCTAGGGACTTGGCTTCATATTTGTCCCTTCTATGCAGACCCTAGTCATCCTTCACCTTCCTGAAGAAACCCAGGTATCTCATCCCAACCCTCCAGCATGATCCTGATGGGGATCCGTGACTCCCCAGTTGCCTCTTGATGGGATTTGTGACCCCAAAGGGAGGAACTTGTATTGTGATGAATACCAGGCAGATTGATGGGGGTCAGAATTAAAATGGGATCGTTTTGGAGATCAATAGGCACATCACTGGCCATCTGCCAATTACTTTTTATTAGTAGTATAATAGCATCTGGGTGTCTACTGTGTGTCAGTAGTGTGTTGAGCACTTCACATATATTATCTTTAATTCCTTAAAGCAGCAAGGTAGGAGAAGTTCTGTACTCTTTAAAGATATAGAAGGTGAGGCTCAGAGGGATTTAGTAAGTTTCCCAGAGTCACGGCTGATTTTCAAATACCGCTATACACCTTCAGTGTCCTTTTTCCTTGTTCCATGTCCCACTGTCCCCACTCCATCGGGGCCTCCAGTAGAAGCCAGACCAGGGGCTTATTACTTTTTTAGATGACCTCCGAATGTGATATTCCCTCCAAGTCACATGACTGGTCAAGAAGGCATCAGCTTGGTGAGTATTGTGTGACAGGCTTTACATATCACACATTTCCTTCTAGACAGACCAGAAGACTGCCCTAGAGATCAATGACTGTTTTCATTGCTTGGGATTTCACCGCTATTTTTACTGTGAGGTAATGGTTGATTTCTTCCAGTGTTCAACATCAGGGGGTGGGGTAGGCAGTGTTGGCCTCTCGTTTATTTTCTCAGAGGTAGTGCAGGGTGCGGAAAGATTGCAGGAGAAGACACGTGAGGAGGAAAAGACTCTGCCTACACTGGAGACAGGTGTGGCTCCCCTGCGGGCCCTGAACCTCCTCACTCCACCCCCAGTGATAAACAGGCTTGGCTCTCCGTCCCAATACATTGAAATGTCTACCTTCTGAGAGGCGAATAAATGGGCTAGAAAGGAAGCCTTTCGTCTTCTCTTCCTTCTATCCAGATGAGTTACAAGACAGCAGTCTCTTTTCCTTCCTTCCACTCTGACTGTAGCTCCGTGCTAGATGGAGCTACTTTGACTTTGACCTGAGCTGGCAGTTGGCACCATTACCTGGCTCGTTTGTTTAGCTCTACATAGCAGGTGCTTGGCAAAATGCATTTTTAATGGAGGGGTCAGCGTAAATGGGGCACCTTCCTCATTTTCTTGGCCTGATATTGTTCTCAGTCTCTTCTAGATGTATCTGTCCTTTCTTGAGGGTAAATTGAAGGCTTGAGCCTGCAGCCCTGCAGCAACTCCAGCCCTGGATGCTCTGTCTCAGCTCTGCTGCTCCGGGAGAGAGGAGAGCAGACTTGACTGATGTGTCCACTGAGATGCTCTACAGGACCACATGGAGCTTCTTGCCCTTACTAGGGGACTTTCTGGCTCAATGCAGGAAAGTTTCCCCTCTCTCCTAGCTGGCTTCTATCCAGTCCACATTCACTAGCTAGTTTTAGTCCTGATCGACCATTGAAGAAAGGTTTTCTCTCTCTCTCTCTCTCTCTCTCTCTCTCTCTCTCTCTCTCTCTCTCTGTTGAATTTGAGCTCCATGTGACCAGGAAGTATGAAGGACCAGCTCTGCAGCGGTCCAGTTGCTTCCAGGAGCTCCCAGCACATACCCACCACGTCCGTGGCTCCCCTTGCCCTTCTCCTCCCTGAGCTCCCGTCTCTAATCAACGATACAATCTTCAGCTCCTTCTCAAAGCAGTGCCAGCCAACATGCTGAGCGCCAATACAAGTGAAAGTATGTTATATTGGTCTTATTTAATATTGTCTGCTCTGCCAGGCTCCGGTTGCCATCTCTGCCTGCTTTCATACTACCTCACTCAGGTATCAGTAGATGTCCCCCAGGGAAGGATCTCCTGAAGCCAATTATCACCATTTATTTAATATTTCAAAATGCTTTATGCACACAAGAACAAATGACAGCCCAAATTATCACCCAGGCTTGAAGATGTCTTTCCTTGGCAGGCTCCTGTGCCGATAGGAAAGACCCCTGAGCTGTGCCCAGGCTTCCCTTCTGCTCCCTTGACAGTTGAGATCCCAAATGCACCATTCAAGGATTAATTTCCGTGTTCATAATTGATGCTATAAATAAAACAAATCCCCAATTATCTCAGTTAATAGAGGAAAGGGATAACGTGGAACTCCCAATATTAAATAAGACCAACATAACTAGTTTGGGAATGTATTATATGAGGTGAGTTATGTCAAAGCAAATTTCCCTTCTTAATTTCGCTTGGCTTTGCTTAGCACTGTGGCTGACCTGGACTGCCTGAGCAAGTCCTGAGTAGGTCCTTGAGGCAGCTCAGGTTAGGACGTGGGGGAAAAAAAGAGAAGCTGGAGTAGTTGGGTGTGTGTTCTCAAAAGCTGGGGGGGGGTGTGTGCTGACTTCAGGACATCTGGAGTGAACCGCTCTTGGACATCTTAAAGAGGGGAATTGGGCCTGGGAAAAGTGGGGAAGGTATGGAGCAGCGTGCTCCTGACTTACATAATTGTCAGTGGCAACCTGTCTGTCACCCTCTGCTCTGAGATGAGAGCATTTCTGACAGTGTCCAAAAATCACTTTAACAAAAGCAGAATCGATTGGTTTTTGTTGTTGTTGTTGTTGTTGTTGTTTTTTGTTTTGTGGTTTTTGTTGTTGTTGTTGTTTTACTTCTTCCAAGTGTGAAGCAGTCTCCAGGTGTTTTGCATTTCACTTTAAACCTAATCCTGGAGGGCATCTGTCTGAGGTCCCAGGAGGCAGGAAGACTCAGGAAGTCAGGGATGTAGAGAGAACATTGCAGGTTGGGGTTCTGGATCAGGCTCTCCAGTGCCAGAAATGGAGCTTGTCTGAGATGTGTTTTCATGAACTCTTCCATTTTCAGTGTTCTGTCTGTACTTCCCCAGGGATCACCTTACCTCTCAGTCTAGAGACTGTGTGGGGTGGAACCCTGCCCCCAGGACTGCTCACAGAACATTCTGAGAATGAGTGACCTTCGGGTTGTTTGTTTGTTTGTTTCTTAACTGATAGTTCCCTGGTGCTGAAAGTCCCAAGAGAGGATACAAACTTCTCAACAAGGAGTCTGGTTCTTTCCATGTCTGTGAATGCTTTCTGTGCACCAGAGAGCATTGCCGAGTCTGAGAATACACAAGCACTATGATCGCATTCACAAGCCCAATGTCGATCTGCAAGACAAATCAAACAAAGTGCATCTCCCTTCTTTAGGACATGAACAGTCATTTTCCAAATGTAAAGCTCCACTGTCTTCTCTAAGAAGTCTTCCTAGCTATTGAAGATCTGGGATTCCTCTTGCCTCCCGTGATAGTCCCAGTGTCCTACTCTGCTGCCACCACCTCCTGGTGTCCTACCCTGCCAACACCACCTCAAGTCACAGCCCTGGTGTCCTACCCTGTCACCACCTCCTTCCATCACAG